ACGTTGAATCAACGTGGAAAACTGATTGGATTTGAAAAAAGTAAATCAACGTAAGGGAATTTAATATTTTTTCACTCAACTCTTAACCTAAATCAAATGACATGGTTGTTGATTTCCCATTGAATTCACGTTCGTTGACAACTCAACCAAATGTAAATCAAAACTAGACGTTGAACTGACGTCTGTGCCCAGTAGGTAACACCACACACACTGTGATCATTGAAATGCACATTAACAATAAAACCATACCAATTATTTAATTTTCTCTTTACAAACAGCATACTGGAACACACAAGGATATTATATTACTATAGGGCTGATTAAATACCTTTCGTGATGGTAAAATGCAGTGACTCACAATGGCCAGAGTGCAGTTACTGTAACATACAGTCACCTCCAAAATTATTTGCACCCTTGATAAAGATGAGCAAAAAAGACTATCAAATAAATACTTCAAATACTGAGCTATACTGTTTGCTCAAAACTTTGGGGAAATTATATTATTTTATACTAACACAATTGGTCGGAAAAATAGATTCTGGTTAACAAGTAATAAAACAAATCTCAAAAAGATGTCAAAATGATTGGCATCCCTGTTTTCAATACTCCAGCAGCCTCCCCTTGCGAGGATTACAACACGGAGCCTTTTTCTAAAATGTTTTATGAGATTGGAGAACACACTGGGAGGGATCTTAGACCATTCCTCCACACAGAATCTTTCCAGATCCTAGATATCATTCGTCTGCGCTTATGGACTGCCCTCAATTCAAACCACAGGTTTTCAATAGGGTTCAAGTCCGGAGACAGATGGCCACTGCAAAATATTGATATTGTGGTCAATTAACTATTTCTTTATGGATTTTGATGTATGCTTGGGGTTATTGTCTTGCTGGAAGATCCACAGCCTCCTGGTAGAAGCAACCAAATTGTGGGCTAAAATGTCCTGGTACTTGGTAAAGTTAATGATGCCATTGACCTTAACAAGGGCCCCAGGAACAGTGGAAGCAAAATAGCCCCATAACATCAAAGATCCACCACCATATTTTACAGTAGGTATGAGTTTGCTAAATGGAATTGGCACTTAGATTGAAACCGATGCTATGGTCAGACACTTTTTTGATAATTGTTTGTATTACTTGTTAAAATCTCTTACTCTGACCAAACGCATTAGTATAAAATAATATAACTCCCACATTTTTGGAGCATCTTTATCAAGGGTGCCAATAATTTGAGGTGACTGTAAATATCCCTCATATAGACGAGGAATATCACATTTCCCATTCCTGACAATACAACACATAGCAAAACCATAAGCACAGAGCTGTTGTAACATTAATACATTGACAATTCAATTGTTTATTATATTCAAGAGTGAATATACAGTACATCAGGGGTAGGTAACCCTGTTCATGGAGTGCCTGCAGGATTTTGTTCCAACTAGGCACCACACTTGGCCAACTGAGCTAATTGATCAGTTCAATGATTGCCTAAATTCAACACACCTGGTCTTCCAGGTTGATTAAATCAAAAACATGGAGTGCCTGCGGCACTCTAGGGACAGGGTTGCCTCCCCCTGCAGTACATCAATGACATATCATGGTATACATCATTCAAAAATAGACAAGAAAAATAGTCCCACTTCAGTCCATGTTTGACAATAATCTAAATGGTATAATAGACACAGCAGAAACCAAGACTAATGATAATTGGCAAATAAAGTGTCAGCTTAATGGCATGTTGAATAAGTTGTGCAAAAACCATTTGAAACAGCAGGGGGCACTGTTTCCCCATATCCTTCAACACATTAACAGAAGGGTGTGTTTGATGCTGATCTATGGATCTGGTTCAATGTATTTTACAACACCTTACCTGTGTTATAAAGTTAACCCTTTAACCTAATTTGTGGTAAAACAAATACTAACAAAAGGACTATCGCTAGGCTGTAGGCAGTTAATGCTGTAAATAAATAAAAATAACCCTCATCTTAGAACAATAGCCCGATATTCTCCCAAGGGGTTAAATAACATAATTTTTCAATTAGAATCATTAAGGTTTGAATTATTTTTAAAAAATCGAAATTGAATCTATCCAACAGTGTCTTGTTGTCTATTGTTGGTCAGTAGGAAAACAGCCTGATCGAAATAGAAGATAGAGAAAACACTCCACTCATGTTACAAAGCCAGTCATAAACAGCTACTATAGGCTGCTTGGTACAGGAAATCTATGAAATACGTTTGCGTTGACAGCACAAAGGTTCTCAGTAACTACAGTACGTTAGGTTGGTCTCCAGATCATACAGGAATGTTATAGAGACCCGTCCGGATTATCGTTTTGTTTTTAAATGGATAAATTAGGAAATAATTCAATTTTGTGCAGTTGGCGTGATGCTGCTTATGAATAGCAGTGTGACAGAGGAGGCTGGTGCTATAGGAGGACGGGCTCATTGTAATGGCTGGAATGGAATAAATGGATCACCATATGTTTGATACCGTTCCATTGATTCCATTCCAGCATTTACAATGAGTCCATGCTCATACTGCTCCTCCCACCAGCCTCCTCTTTGATGTGTGAATGATGGAAGGTGTTATGAGGTGACTTGGGGTCAGAATCTAGAGCATCAGAGTTAGCGAGAACATCCTGTCAGTCATCAGCATGAGTCACAGAATCAATAGATTCTAATAAAAATAGATCTACAATCCCTCCATTGATCTCCATGTATATCCTCAACAGAACACAGAGGAAAATGCATGAAAGCATCTTTAAATACAGATAATGGAATACAAGAGGAATGTAGAAGAGTTAGTGGAGGATTGAGTGATCTAATGTTGACCTAAGAACTACAGTATAAGTGCTACAGTGGTGATATACAGTATAATAACTAAACACATGTACTAACGATACTTACATTATAGACACATTGCTCTACATTCATATATGTCAATGCTTAAATATGTATATACATGTATAGTATTTATATGTATATAGATATATAAAATGAGGAATAGATGGTGACGTATGACATAACCTCGTTTTCAGAGTTCATTTTCTCAGACAGAGCGATAACTATTTCCACTTCTATTCACTCCACCCATGGATGCACCAATAAGCCCTTAGGCCTCTATGGTGAGCGACTGAGCACTATCTGATTTGACACATGGGAAGAACTGGGTGAACTAACTATGGTTGTGCTAGACCCCTCTTTAGTGCATCGTTTCCAAAATGGAGTGATGCTGGTTCATTAGGATGCTCTGTCCCTGTTAGTGGGGCTGGATCCATGAAGTTAAGTCAAAGACAACTCCGGATGCAACAGGGACATTTGAGGGTAAACTCCCCTAGGGTTAGATGTCTAGTGAGCTTGTCTGTGGAGCCTTTGTCTTTCCATTGATTCTAATGTCATTTAAAGACAGAAATTGTTTCAGAAAGCTGTAGAGCCTACCACAATTCATCTCAGTTCATGCACAACTGTATGTGCAACACCGGTTATAATCATTTCTGAGACTTTTCTCTCTTGGTTCTGATCATACATTATAAACTGGGTGGTTCGATCCCTGAATGCTGATTGGCTGAAAGGTATGACAAAACATTTATTTTGACTGAACTAACTACGTTTGTAACCAGTTTATAATAGCAATAAGGCACCACGAGGGTTTGTGGTATATGGCCAATATACCACGCCTAAGGGCTGTATCCAGGCACTTCGCGTTGCGTCGTGCATAAGAACAGCCCTTAGCCGTGGTATATTGGCCATATACCACACCCCCTCAGGCCTTATTGCTTAAGTAAATACTTCAATAGGATGGCAGGGCATTGAGACATACAGTATACTGCAATGTACTAATACAGACAAACAGAAACGCCTTGGGATTTCACCTCCAAAGCGGCATAACATTATTATACACATATTGGTGCAAGGCAGTGGACATGTAAGGGCCAATCGTGGCATTGATTGACAGTGGAGCTATATATCTATGGGATGGACAGAACGACAGATGTGCACTATGAAATTGGCAGTGGGTACCTGTCTGGCATGGTAAGTGCGTATTCCTTTGTAAATAGGTTCCATCCCTGTAAATGCACTCGGCATCTAAGAACAGGGTACGAGTTGTGGCAATGAAAGCATGGTTCTGTTTGCTTCTACTTGGACATGATGGGTGTTTGTGTGACATCTTGGGGAGACAGCTTTCTCGTCTCTATGGAATGTTTTTTTGATATACCAAATTAGTCCACCCAACACTAGCCATGTCACTTCCTGGTGTGATGTCAGGGTGCTTCGCTGTCACACCCAATCAGGACTAGTCTAAACCAAATGTCCCAAAACATTCCGGACTGGTCAGGGATCATTTTGTTGGTGTCATGACATCATTGTAGTCTGACAGTCCCGGCAGTGGGATACTGTGGAATGATTGTGCTATAACATATTATTCGTACAACTCTTCTGACCTCTGAGCTCCAAAAGTGGAAAAACAGAGAGAGATGTCCAGTGTTTTAAACCTATGGTCTAGGGAATGCTTCATTGGTCAGGTCAAAACATCACACTCAGGGAACTTTGGGGCTGTGTGTGCTAGCGGTGGGACGTATGTTTATGGAATCTACACTGAGAAGATGGGTAACAGAATAAACTGTAAAGTACTGAGCCATGGTTAGAAGAATGCCTGCATGCCCCATGTGGCCTTGTTTTTTTCTGCCTAACATACTTCCCCCACTATTGGAACAGGTGGGGTTTAGACAAATGTACACAAGGAGACCAGCAGAGAGAGAGAGAGAGAGAGAGAGAGAGAGAGAGAGTGTGTGAAAGTTATTGTGTGACTGTCACCATGTATGTATGTATGTATGTATGTATGTATGTATGTATGTATGTATGTATGTATGTATGAATGTTACATGTTGTAGATGTACGTGTGTGTCTGTGTGATGTGTGCTGGTCAGGGTGGATTGAGTCAGGTTGGCTCCTATGGAAGGCAGAATAGGAGGGGTTGGGTCTCTCTCTCTCGCTCTTACTTTGTCTTTAACCTGGCAGCCACGACTGGCATCACCCCATTCAACTTGCCCTCTTTCGCCAGCTTCTCGTTGAGTTGGCACAGCTGGTGCAGAAAGCCGTCATTGGGGCCGATCTCTCTCTTCAGCCTCACTGTGGCGACCGCCACCCGGGCGTCCAGTTTGTGACGCAGCATGAGGTAAGCGATGACAATGGTGGGCGAGCGGCTGTAGCCCTCTCGGCAGTGGACGTACACCTTCCCTGATGGACACAGACAGAGACTTAGGGCTACGTCCCAATTCTCCTCAACGGCCCCCTTTACTCAACTCCTTTCCTTCATGAACACTGATAGTTGAGAGGACTGGATAGGGTTCCACTATACTGCTTGAACCCATCAAATCCTTTCAGATCAGTAGTCTTGAAGGAATGGACACAATGAAAGGAGACCATTTCTGGCTATTGGGATTCTGACGAAGACTGGAGTAAAAGGAAGGAGAGGGGGAAGACACAGTGAGGTACAGGGAGGAAAGGAGGGAGGAAAGGTGGGAGGAAACAGATGCTCCGTATAAACCTGCCCAGCGAAGCATCTCAGCCAGAGAGATGCCAATCCAGGGCCTGACCTCTGCGGCAGATAAGTGTTTATATGTAGACTGTGTGTGTGTGTGTGTGTAAGTGTGGATATGTAGACTGTGTGTGTGTGTGTGTGCATAAATACACCTCCACATCCCCCTCCTCAACTCCTGTATTCCTAATCGACCTCCCTACTCCCCAGGAGGAATTCACCGTGCCAACTTCACTGAGAAGCCGATCTGCTCGTGCTCAGTTCAGATCTGCCGATTCTGCAGTGTGTTTGAAACCTGACACCGCTCCCAGCGTCTCGGGGGCTAGGCTCTTGCCATTTAAGTGACCTCTGTCCAATCCCCAACCTGCCTCCCGCCGATCAATCCAGGGCTGACTGTAGACGCTGATAACATGCACATGGAATCAGGTGCTCATCGCTTTACACACTCACTTAATCACTGACTCACTCCCCCCACGCACACACACACACACACACACACGCTCACTCAGTCAATACACACACTCACAAGCACAACCCTGCTGATGAGGCACATGCACAAGCTCCATCCCTGACCTTTGCACAGCTCGGCAGGGGGTCACAAAATGTCACTGAGTTCCAGCAAGACACTACATCCACCAGAGTGAGCTGGTGTTACGGCTTGTTGGAAAGAGGAGTGTCCTCCTCCTCTTCCTCCACTCCTGTAGCCACTGTGATTGACTGGGGTGTAGACGCTGCTGCTGCCAAATTGGCCGGGAATTAAGATGATTTATAATTGCTCCGCTGTGTCAAAAGATGACATTAAATCAATTCCAGAAAACACAGGGTTCAGTGCTCCAATTAAATGGGCCCCGAGGGTATGTCAACACCCCAGTAACATTTTGGGAGAGAGGAGCCAGAGCTGTAGTCAGATGGCAGTTCTTGTTCTTTCGGTCTACAGAGGCTGTTATGAGTTAGAGGGTTTTGGTTGAAGTGAATGGCACTTCCTTCATCTTTTGTTGTTCACTTCCCTGCTAGATTTCCATTTGTTTTGTGTTGGTTGGTGCGCTGTTACAAATCTCAAGACACATATTTCAAATAGTACCGTGAAACGCATTCAATGTGCTGTTCAATGCAATACGTTTCAAACAGTGTCATGGTCATTCATCACATCAAATGGCCCTCTTGAAGTGACATCTTCTAAGCATTTTCTACTGGAACACAGAGCAGAGGAAATATTACATGTGCCAAACTGGTGTCTGTGCTTGCTCTCTATGGAAAAAAGTGGAGTGTCTGGTTTGATACAATAGATCTATCTATGACCAGTGCAATGTTCTCACAACATTCAACTGATGGAAACATCCGATGATATAGCAATGTGTGTATCTCTAACTGGGGATAGAGAATGCATCATTAAACGTTTTATACCCTGAAGGACAGTTACTCCTCTTCTCTTAACAGACTTGGAGCAACAAGAGTTTTTCTACAGTTTTAACCAAGTGAACAAATATTTTGAAATGAGAAAAAACAACTGAGAGGAAACAAACCATATTGCTCTTTGACCTTGCTTCCCTATAAAGGGGCGATTGGCACTCTATTTTACAGTACAGAAAAAAATCTGGTATTTGGCTTCTAAATTACATGGTGAAATGGTAATTACACAATAATAGCTAATACCAAGTAAATACCTGTAGAAACAGATACCTTAAAATAAAGTTCCCCAATTCTTTACATCAGACAACCTACTGTAGCAGAGAGACAGAGACCAATGCTAAAGGCACATCAATTCACCTCAGTCAACCATGTCCTGAAGTCAATTGAACTGGGCCTCTTCAGTGTACATCACTATGGAATGACAAACTGATTGTCACTTAGTCTAACAAACAGCTCAGTAACACCACAGGTGGCACCTTAATTGGGGAGGACGGGCTCATAGTAATGGCTGGAACGGAATAAATGGAATGATATCGAACATGTTCATGTGTTTGATACCATTCCATTTACTCCATTCCATCCCTTACTATGAGCCGTCCTCCCCTCACCAGCCTCCTGTGGTAAAAGAGAACCCAGAGTGATCAGTCTCACCTTTGCCATTGTTGTGTGCCAGAGCCTTCTCGATAAAGTCCGCCCCCTCCTCAAAAAATGTACTGAGGTTGAACTGCGGCTTGTCGTTGGCCTGGATGCCGTGGTAGGTGATGCCCGAGCCAGCGTAGAACTCTGCGTTGGTGTTGACGTGCATGAAGGAGTTGCCCTCCGCCGCGTTCAGAATGTGGGTCACGCCCAGCTTCTGCAGACGCATCAGATTCTGGCCCACAAACCTGGAGAGGTAGACCATAGAAATATATATTTCTATGAGGTAGACATCAGACATTAGACATTGATTAAGCATGGGCCACATCTGAGAACAGTGGCTTCCAGAATCACTATTATCAACTCTGTAGAGTAGAGACTCAAGACAAGTTAGAGTAAATAAGCAAACATTAGATCTACTTTGCAGTGGCTGTCAAACTAAACATCAATGTTCACAGGATCAACAATACCAAGTTTTAGCAGCTGACTGTTTTAAAACTACAGTCCAAGTTGTCCCAGACCTGCTATTCAAGCCATTGTCCTAACACCATCTCAACGCCTCTCCAGCTTGTCATCCTAAATGTTCTGAGTTGCCACGGCACTCTTAAAGCATCATTGTGAAAATGTAATGGTGTTGGAGGGGTTTTCCTGCTGATTATCGCACCCAACCCAGGCTACCCCATCTAGCCCAGTCTCAGACCTAGCTGTCGACGTGGCCTTGCCATGGCTGGTTGGAGCTTGAACGGGATAAATGGTAGAGCCGCTTTTAGACAGTGGAGATGTCTGCCTATGTTAGTGGTCCCCCAGGAGACAGGGGAATGTCCGGAGCCCAGTGTCATGCAGACATGCCAAGGAAAAGGAGATCTTGGGTGCTGCCCAGGGGCAGACAGAAAGCCACGTGCGTCCTGAACACTGACCGAAATAGGGCTCCCGATACCCAGGGAGGTGAGAGAATGGGAGAGAGGAGAGAGGAGAGAAATAGTCTATAGATACTCAGGCACACTATTAAGGAAGATAATCGTCTTTTCACACTCAAGTGTGTTTGGATGACAACAGCTGATAAATCAGAATAGGGGACATGCTCTACAGAAGAAACGAATGGCGGGGAACAAGCACGATTGCGCATTAGATGACGCCTTCTCAGCATGTTTGAGTTGTATATTGATATTTGTTGCTTACTGCATACGTTTTTAATAAACACTACATTCTAAATAGCATGTAGCATGATTAGCCCCATGTAGCTCAGTTGGTAGTGCATGGCGCTTGAAACGGCAGGGTTGTGGGTTCGATTCCCACGGGGGGCCAGTATAAAAAAATGATGTATGCACTCACTAACTGTAAGTCGCTCTGGATAAGAGCGTCTGCTAAATGACTAAAATGTAGTACACAGCAGGTAATTTTAGTAAGTAGTAGGAAAGACAGATTTCAGACACGACCAGGGAGAGAAGAAGAGAGGCTCCATACTCAGCCAGCTCCACTCCAGTGACTGCATCTATTTTTATCTACTCAACTTCCAGACAACTATACAAGTCTTTCTGCTCTCCACAATCTCTCCTTCCTTCCTTCCTTCCTTCCTTCCTTCCTTCCTTCCTTCCTTCCTATTCATGTGTTTCCCTGTTGCAGTTTAGTTTCAACTCATGGCCACTGGGGCACAGCTTTATCACATGATTAGGGGTACAAATCCAACCCTGCCAGAAAACACAACTTTTTTTTCAGCTGGAGCTAGGTAGGTGTTACATGCCTTGCTCAAGGGCAAACCAGCAGTGGATGGTAGCTATGACCTGAAACCAGAATCTCTCCAGTTGCCAGTTCCGACGCCCTGCCTGAGATTTAAACTAGCGGCCTTCCAGCTACTCTAATCACTGGGTATATACAGTTGAAGTTGGAAGTTTACATACACCTTAGCCAAATACATTTAAACTCAGTTTTTCACAATTCCTGACATTTAATCCTAGTAAAAATTCCCTGTCTTAGGTCAGTTAGGATCACCACTTTATTTTAAGAATGTGAAATGTCAGAATAATAGTAGAGAGAATGATTTATTTCAGCTTTTATTTATTTCATCACATTCCCAGTGGGTCTGAAGTTTACATACTCAATTAGTATTTGGTAGCATTGCCTTTAAATTGTTTAACTTGGGTCAAACGTTTCGGGTAGCCTTCCACAAGCTTCCCACAATAAGTTGGGTGAATTTTGGCCCATTCCTCCTGACAGAGCTGGTGTAACTGAGTCAGGTTTGTAAGCCTCCTTGCTCGCACACGCTTTTTCAGTTCTGCCCACAAATTTTCTATAGGATTGAGGTCAGGGCTTTGTGATGGCCACTCCAATACCTTGACTTTGTTGTCCTTAAGCCATTTTGCCACAACTTTGGAAATATGCTTGGGGTCATTGTCCATTTGGAAGACTCATTTGCGACCAAGCTTTAACTTCCTGACTGATGTCTTGAGATGTTGCTTCAATATATCCACATAATTTTCCTTCCGCATGATGCCATCTATTTTGTGAAGTGCACCTGTCCCTCCTGCAGCAAAGCACCCCCACAGCATGATGCTGCCACCCCCGTGATTCACGGTTGGGATGGTGTTCTTCGGCTTGCAAGCCACCCCCTTTTTCCTCCAAACATAAATGGTAATTATGGCCAAACAGTTCTATTTTTGTTTCATCAGACCAGAGGACATTTCTCCAAAAAGTACGATCTTTGTCCCCATGTGCAGTTGCAAACCGTAGTCTGGCTTTTTTATGGCGGTTTTGGAGCAGTGGCTTCTTCCTTGCTGAGCTGCCTTTCAGGTTATGTTGATATAGGACTCATTTTACTATGGATATAGGTACTTTTGTACTTGTTTCCTCCAGCATCTTCACAGGGTCCTTTGCTGTTGTTCTGGGATTGATCTGCACTTTTCGCACCAAAGTACATTCATCTCTAGGAGACAGAACGCGTCTCTTTCCTGAGCGGTATGACGGCTGCGTGGTCCCATGGTGTTTATACTTGCATACTATTGTTTGTACAGATGAACGTGGTACAATCAGGCGTTTGGAAATTGCTCCCAAGGATGAACCAGACTTGTGGAGGTCTACAATTTATTTTCTTGGCTGATTTCTTTAGATTTTCCCATGATGTCAAGCATAGAGGCACTGAGTTTGAAGGTAGGCCTTGAAATACATCCACAGGTACACCTCCAATTGACTCAAATTATGTCAATTAGCCTATCAGACGCTTCTAAAGCCATGACATCATTTTCTGGAATTTTCCAAGCTGTTTAAAGGCACAGTCAACTTAGTGTATGTAAACTTCTGACAAACTGGAATTGTGATACAGTGAATTATAAGTGAAATAATCTGTCTGTAAACAATTGTTGGAAATATTACTTGATGTCATGCCGACTTGCCAAAACTATAGTTTGTTAACAAGAAATTTGTTGAGTGGTTGAAAAACGGGTTTTAATGACTCTAATCTAAGTGTATGTAAACTTCCGACTTCAACTGTATACAGTGCCTTCAGAATGTATTCACACTCCTTGACTTTTTCCCCATTATGTTGTGTAACAGCCTGAATTTAAAATTGATAAAAATTTAGATTTTTTGTCTCTGGCCTACACACAATACCCCATAATGTTAAAGTGGAATTATGTTTTACAAACGAATAAAAATGAAAAGCTGAAATGTCTTGAGTCAATAAGTATTCAAGCCATTTCTTATGGCAAGCCTAAATAAGTTCAGGGGTAATGTGCTTAACAAGTCACATAATAATTGCATGGACTCACTCTGTGTGCAATAATAGTGTTTAACATGATTTTTGAATGACTACCTCATCCCTGTACCCCACACATACAATTATCTGTAAGGTCCTTAGTCGAGCAGTGAATTTCAAACACAGATTCAACCACAAAGACCAGGGAGGTTTTCCAATTCCTCGCAGTTTTCCAATTCCTCGCAAAGATGGCACCTATTGTTAGATCGGTAAAAGAAAAAGCAGACATTGAATATCCCTTTGAGCATGGTGAAGTTATTAATTACACTTTGGATGGTGTATCAATACACCCAGTCACTATAAAGATGTAGGCGTCCTTCCTAACTCAGTTGCCGGAGAGGAAGGAAACCGCTCAGGGATTTCACCATGAGGTTAATGGTGACTTTAAAAAAGTTACAGAGTTTAATAGCTGCGATAGGACAAAACTGAGGATGGATCAACAACATTGTAGTTACTTCACAATACTAGCCTAATTGACAGAGTGAAAATAAGGAAGCCTGTACAGAATAAAAAAAACTGAATGGAGCTAAGGACAGGCAAAATCCTAGAGGAAAAACTGGTTCAGTCTGCTTTCCTCCAGACACTGGGAGATTAAGTCACCTTTCAGCAGGACATTAACCTAAAACACAAGGCCAAATCTACAATGGAATTGCTTACGAACAAAACATTGATGTTCCCGAGTGGCCGAGTTACAGAGTCTGCATCATTTCCAATCCCCCATATATTTTGGGGTAAATATTATTTTTTTTTTTGGGGGGGGGGTGCTAAATATTTTTATCAATTATATTTTCCCCTAACCCTACCACCCCTCTTTTAATTGGAGTAAACTAATGGATAACAACACTTAGGCTTCTACTTCCAGCTTATACATACTAGAAATGTTACGGACACAATGTATTTTACAATAGTTATCTTTTGTTTGTTTTTAATCCCATCCTTCAGCTACCCTCAACACCTCCCATCTATCTCTGAAGACCATCCAGTTTGATTTGTATTTGCCATATATTTTTAACTGTGCTGTTTCACAAAAGTTCTGAACCTATTTACATTTTACAGATACAGTATATTTTACATTAGTTATTTTGTTGTTTTTAGTCCCACCCTTCAGCTCCACTCAACCCCTCCCATCTGTCTCTTCACACCATCCATTTTTATTTTTATTTGCCATATATTTTTCAACTGTGCTGTGATGTTTCACAAAAGTTCTGAACCTTTCTATTCTCATAGTTTCTACAGATTTTTGCTAAAAGTATTATATTATTGATCGATTGACTATGACTTTTCAAATCACCCAGCAGTGCTATTTGCAGAGTTAGCGCCAGGTACAGTTTTGACTTAAATCTGTGGCAAACCTGAAAATGGTGGTCTAGCAATGATCAACAACCAATTTGACAGAGCTTGAAGAATTATGAAAATAATATTATGGGAATGTTGCACAATCCAGGTGTGGAAAGCGCTTAGAGACAAACCCAGAAAGGTTCACAGCTGTAATTGCTGCCA